TCGGCAGGACGTTGTGAAACGGCATGAACGAAACAAGGGGCACAGTGTTTGGCAAACCGCGCTCTGGGCTGCTGGTCAGGGCCTGGCGTGGTTGGCTGCTGCTAGCCATTATCTCCGTGGTGGAAAGGGCTGCTGTTAGACCCTGATAAATGAGCTGCCGCTCCCTAAGCTCTGCTGGGGAGCAGGGAAGTGGATCTGAGGGAGTTTGGTTATCGAGGCAGTGAGTCACAGCTTGGCTGGATTAATCATTCTTCAACCCCTGCCTCCCCAAGCCAAGTTTTGTTCGTGTTTCTGCGTTTTTGAAATGGAAATGGATATAAGCTGGAACATAGGAGGTCCCGCTTAAACACGAGGAAGAACTTCTTCCCATTAAGGGTAACAGAACACTGGAACAGGCTGCCCAGAGAGGTTGTGGAGTCTCCTTCTCTGGAGATGTTCAAAACCCGCCTGGACGCGTTCTTGTGTGATCTGATCTAGGTGGTCCTGCTCCGGCCGCTGGGGGATTGGACTAGATGATTCTTTGAGGTCCCTTCCAATCCCTAACATTGTGTGATTCTGTGAAGGGATGTTTGTGATGGTTGTCCTTTCAGGGCTCTACAAGCGGGGGAGGAAGCTGTGCATAAGCCATTAATATTGTGTTATTACAAGAGAAGTTTTATATAGCCTGTGTGTACAGTTGTAAGCTAACTTTCTGGGAAGGCTTTGCCCCTGCCTTCAGAGGGTGCTGACTCCTTTTTTTCCCCCATTACTAAGTGACCATCAAAATCCTTTCAATCACGGTTCTTCCTGTTGAGTTTATGAAACTACTGCTTGAGGTATTTTCTATACTTTCATTCATCATACTTCCCTAGGTATCTGTAGAAGGCAAGCTCTTATAAGATTACTCAAGCTTATTTTAAAGCCAGTGATAGCTAATTATCCTGATTCTTGTGTTACCACTGCATTTCTTGCTGACTTGAATAAAATGTTTATTTACAGTGTCCATGGGGAGCCCCTACCACAACATCAATATCATGTTCCCTTGCTGATGTAATGAGTGAACAGCTGGCAAAAGAGCTGCAGCTGGAAGAAGAAAATGCTGCTTTTCCTGAAGTGGTTGCGTAAGTTTAAATCCTGGATTAACGATCTCCATAGTTGTGAAGCTGTCTTCTATCTCTTGTGCGTTTTTTTTTACAATGTGCTTAATGTGTAGCAATATAGTAAATGCTTTGCCTATTATCTCCTAATTCTGCTTCTTAGGTATTTTACAGTGAAGATGGCTTCCCCAGTTAAAACTATTCCTTAGATTCTTTTCACTGTCACTCTTCGTTCTTTCTTGATATTTTCTTCTAATTATTTTGGGTGCTTTAAGCCAGTCTGTAAGCTGAGAAGTGTTGTCAGAAATGATTTTTTTTTTTTTCCCTTTTAGAGACTCTAGTTCAGTGTATAGTGTTATTTCGAGAACTGTTAGGTGTGTCATCTGTATCATCCTAGTACTTGGAGGCTCTAAACATAGGCCAAGAGCTTACTTGTTCTAAACTTATAAAAATTTTGCCTGCTATCTTTTCTGTGAAGCTGAGCAAAGCAATGCTTTTTTCTTTTAAAAAAAACCCCACACTTTATTTATTAAAAATATAAACATATAGATACACACACATACACCTGTACGCCTTCTTTCTCTTTCATGAAGGGCATCTTAAAAATAGAGCCTAATGCTTCTTAGAGAATGGTAAGCAAGTAAACATTTAATATTTGCATTGTAAAGGGGTGGCAAAGAGAAATTAAGTCAGGCTCTATTAATATTTAGTGTTGGCTTAGATGGGGGCAGACAGTTGAGATCCATTAATTTCTATGCAGCTCTGCATGAAGTCTTTTGTGTAGAGTGATGAAATGGTATAAAGTGGAGTTTCTGTTTAGATCACTGTGTTTAATTTTTTAAATTTCTGGTTTCATTTTACATAGCGTTGCTGAAGGACCGTTTATTACAGGAGAAAATACTGACACTTCTAGTGACCTAATGCTAGCTCAGATGCTACAGATGGAATTTGACAGGGAATATGACGCACAGCTTCGGCGTGAAGAGAAGAAGATTAACGGACATAGCAAAGGTACCATCATTAGAAGTAGTATTTTTGCTTTGGAGATATTCTTGGCACTCTGCTTAAGTTGCTAGAGCTGTGAGGAAGTAGCAAATCTCTGATAATGATGGACATGCTTATTTGGTGTGGGGTTTTTTTTTCAAGTCTCCATATCCTTTGAAAATTATCGGAAGGTGCATCCCTATGACAGTGACAGCTCAGAGGATGAGGTTGATTGGCAGGATACCCGTCATGATCCTTACAGAGCAGGTATGTGGCAGTTTTAAACAATACAATTTCTTTGGTTAATAGACCTAATAATATGACATAGTTAAATTAGGTTTTTTGAATGTAAGGAGACATACCAGTTACATGTAAAATCAGGTCACCTAATTGGGAGGTGCTACGTAGCAAGCTGGGTTGGTAACTTGAGGCCTCTGTCTGCCAGTGTATTGGCTTCAGTGGCTGAATCTGGTAAAATAACTATTGTAAATGGAAAGTATTGTGGGATATGCATATCTGTCATCTGTGTTTGGCTAGGGGCATCTGTGCATGATATTGAATATTCCTGTCTTTAACGCACCAAAAGTGTGTCTGACATCCTGGAGAAGACATAGAAGTCAGTCATAACATAGTGAAAGAAGCTTTCATGTTTAGGATAAGAGAATACTGCACTAAGATGGTACAATTGAAGTATTTTATTCTGTTTAATAAATAAAATTGTGTTACTCTTGCAGGCATTGTGGAACCTTTATGAGCATTAGTTATGTTTGTTTAGATGTGAAGTTTGATTTATTTTTCTCACTGCTGGCAGATAAACCTACTACTACACCAAGAAAGGGCTTCATAGGAAAAGGAAAAGACATTACTACTAAACATGATGAAGTGGTGTGTGGAAGAAAGAACACTGCTCGCATGGAAAATGTAACTGAAAACTTAGGGAAACTTATTTTGTGTGTAAAACTGGAATATTGTAACTCAACCATAGAACTAATGCTTGTCCATCTGTGTTACTGTATACAGGGCTGATTTAAAAAAAAAAATAATTTTTTTCATCAGATGAAAGCAATACAGCATTTGGAATAGTTATCCAAATTGGCAGTCTGAGTTGTACAGGTTTGTTGTTTGTTAATGACCACAATTCAAGAACTTACACAGAACTGTTTTGGCAAAACAAAAGTATCAGCAAGTTTGGCATACAGACAAATTAAACACCAAGTCTATTTTTGAAAAGCATAGCTATTGTGTAACCTGCGTTGTTTTTTTTTTTTAAAATCATTTTGCCTGATGAGCCAAGTAACTTATTTTAGTCAATTGTTTGACTTAAAAGATTTTCAGTCTGTGTATCTATAGTACATACTTTCCATTTTCTTTAATGTAACTGGTACAACTTCTGCAAATAAGGAAATGCTGCAAATGCTATTTTTACAGGATATTAGGTAATCCCATATCAATTTGGGCAGAACTTAAAGTTCTGAGTTTAGAGCAATATATTTTTTAATGTAGTGACAACATTACACAAAGTGTGTTTCGCATCTGTCCTAATCTACCTTAGTTTTTTGCAAATAAGAATGAGAAATTTCTGCTTGTGCCAACTTTTGGTGTCTGCTAGTAACAATGCTTAAATTTCTATTATTTCTACTTGTAGTTTGCACCTGAATTCCAAGTTGGGGATGGAATCGGGATGGACTTAAAGCTGTCAAATCAAGTCTTCAATGCCTTAAAGCAGCATGCATACTCTGAGGAACGTCGAAGTGCAAGGCTCCATGAAAAGAAGGAGCATTCCACTGCTGTATGTTTTTAGTAAAGTGCCTCTATACGCCTTTTATCTTGTATAATAGCTGAATGCTGCTTTGGTAATTCCTTGAAACACTTCATTTTTAGTAGAACAGTTAAGCGATGTTATGTTAACATTGCTGAAGGAGATGGTATCAGTCAGCTCCTAGTAGAAAAACGCTGTCTTTATTTGAGCTGCATTACTGTGAGAGCTGTATCAAAATAAGAGGAAGCAGCTTCCGTTTTTTTTTCTCTTTCTAAACTTGTCTCTTAATTGGCTACAATGAATAAACTGCCTAGAAATTGTCTATAGAAACCATCCAGAGGACTAATCCTCTGCAATTGAACCATGAGGCTCCCAATATCTGTCTTCATAGCAAGTTTCAGGAAGATGAGGTGACCAAGTAAACTCTGACTTAATCATTTAAGAAGTCAGTTGATAGGCTTTATGGGTGAGTGTAGAGCAGGGCCTCTGGTAATTCCTGCTATTCAAATTTGGGTTTCACTTTATTTTATTTTACTGATATAAAGGAAATAGAATATTTGGGATATTTTGACTCACGATTTGTAAAGACTTCTTTAAAACACTATGGAAAGTGCTCTTGAACCACAATCTGTACTTGATGCAGAATTGGTAAAATACTGTATGTGCAACACAGCTGATGAGGTATCTGAGAGTATGAAATCTTAAGGACTAAAGATTGACGGTACTGGAGCAGTTTGGCTTTGCTTCATCTGTTTGGTTTGTTGTTTTTTTTTCTCTCTCTAACAATTGACAGAATGTTCTTAATACATTATTCTTTCCACCTGGGTGAACACTTGTGGTTTATAAATACTCTAAACTCACTGTAAAGCAAAGAATTATTTTAATGACCTGGGTGTTCATTTCTGGCCTGTAGGAGAAAGCAGTGGATCCTAAAACACGTTTACTTCTGTACAAGATGGTCAATGCTGGAATGCTGGAGACCATCACAGGCTGCATCAGCACAGGAAAGGAATCTGTTGTTTTTCATGCATATGGAGGAATGTGAGTATGTTTTTTGTTACTGACAGTAGCTTTAAGTACCAGAGATGGTTTAAAAAGCAGAAACCACAAAAATATTTAAACTATTTGCACTTTTTTCATTCCCAAAACTTAAAGTTTGCATTCACGTATATGCAGATAATAATAAAATATGAAAACCAGATGGTACCAACTGTAAAGTAAAAAATTCCCCACTTTTCTCCTTGGAGGCCATTTAATGAATGGGGACAAGTCCACTATAGCTTTCCATGAAGAAATGTTTACTCCTTTTATAAAAAAGGGCACCTACAAGAAAGCTGGAGAGGGACTTTTTGCAAGGGCGTGTAGTGATAGGACAAGGGGTAATGGCTTTAAACAGAAAGAGGGCAGATTTAGATTAGATATAAGGAAGAAATTCTTCACTCTGAGGATGGTGAGGCAGTGGAACAGGTTGCCCAGAGAAGTTGTGGATGCCCCATCGCCGGGAGTATTCAAGGCCAGGTCGGATGAGGTTTTGAGCAACCTGGTCTAGTGGAGGGTGTCCCTGCTCATGGCAGGGGGCTTGGAACTAGATGGTCTTTAAGGTCCTGTCCAGCCCATACCATTCTGTGAATGATTTAGAGATGTCGAGAGAGAGGTAAGTTGAGGGTGGGGAGAAAAGATGCTACTTTTTTTTTTTAATTGACCTGTGCATGAATGATGTTCAGCAGTGTTCTTTTGCTTAGTGTTATTCAATGGGCAATATCTTTGTGATGCTTAACAAAACATTGTGATACTACCATTATTGTTCTAATGTAAGACTCTCTTCACTTGCAATTTCTTGAAGCAAGTACATCCATTGACAGGGCTGTTATTAGCTATGACATTTAAGTAAAATATTAACAAATTGGGAGATGGAACCTATTTGGTAAGCAACATATAATCAAAATGCCAAAACCCAAACATTCATATATAAGCTTAGTCATAGAACTCTTAGAAACTTAACTTGAATTGGCTTCCAAATTTGATAGAAAATCAGATCTTTTCCTCTCTTATATTAAAAATTGCTGTATCTTGTAATGTTTTAAAAATTTTTTTAAAAAGATGCATTTTCTTGTAAAGATGTGAATAGTTAACTTTGTTACATATTTTATTTTTTCCATGAGAAGTACAACTGAAGATAAAGTTATACCTCCAGAATGTGCCATCAAAGTGTTTAAAACAACTCTCAATGAATTCAAGAACCGTGACAAATACATTAAGGACGACTACAGATTTAAAGACCGCTTCAGTAAATTGAATCCACGAAAGATTATTCGTATGTGGGCTGAGAAAGAAATGCATAACTTAACAAGGTAAAGAAAAAAAAATATTGTAGTTGCCAAATGCTTGTCACTTTCCTGTTCTCTGTTTAAAGAAGTTGCACTATGTCTGGGTAAAAGTTTTTAGATTTGATTTTTAGGCTAAACAATATACAACCTGGCACAGAATGAATAAGCCTCTTGTTTCCTACAGTTTAATAAATTGTCATCATCTTCAGTGATTTGGCAGCAGAATTTACAAGCCAATGAAATGAACAGGCTCTAGCTGACCCACTTATGACTTTAAGATGTGAATTTTCCTGTGTGAAATACATGTATTTATTCAGTTTTCCATTAGGTCTGTTTCAAAGACTCTTTGACTCTGGATCAAGTTTCTCACACACAGCTCTCTTAAGATTGGAAATGAGCAAGCAGAAACTAGAACTGTAGGGTTTTGGTGGTTTTTGCTTTGGTTTTCTTAATCAGTATCTATTTTCTGATCCACAGAATGCAAAATGCAGGAATTCCTTGTCCTCAAGTGGTTATCCTTAAGAAACACATCTTGGTTATGTCTTTCATTGGCCAGGATCAAGTCCCAGCTCCTAAACTAAAGGATGTAATTCTTAGTAGTGAAGATATGAAAAAGGCCTACTGTCAGGTTCTTAATGTAAGACAATGCTGATTTCTTCTTCAGTTTTGGGTTGTGTTTTCTTTTTTAGGGCAATAACTTAAAGGACAAGTCAGCATTTATTTACTTTTCAGGATGCTTGCATAACTTTCAAGATATGGAGTCCAAAGGCTTATTTTGCTGCTGTTTGATGTGTGACTTAGAATAAATAAGAAATTATGCACTAAAAAAAAAATAAAATTCGCTCTTAATCTGAGTAGAAAACATGCTGGAACTTGATGACAAACTAGCAGCAGAGAAATTATGAGCAAGTAGTCCTCCTTTCAGAGAAGCAGTATGTGGTTTAGAAAGTTCTCTGAGGTCTTTCTGGGCTGACCAAATGCTTAATTTACAATGCATAAGCACTCTCCTGTGGATAACCTCTTCCCCACCCCTCCTTTTTCACAAATCTAGAAATCAGAGAATAAATTAGAATATTGCATGGTGAATATTTTACTTTCCTATTACCTGCTATAATTGGTTTAAACATGTACCTGCTAATTATTCACTCACTATTAGCTTTCCATAGACATTAAAAAACCCAAAACCAACTAACCCAGTAGCTTGAAAATATGAATTGTCTGTGCCTCAAATCTTGAGACCAGTAGAGCAACACAACCAGGTTTTAAGTGAATATGCATGCTCGTTAGTATTCAGTATGTAAAACCATGAGACTTCTTTCCTGTGTGGTGGAGGTGGGAATGACAGGTAGAGAACGTGTTTATCTGTCTCGTACACTTGGGCTGGTTGGCAGAGCTGACATGAGTTTACCAGACTGATTATTCTGCCTTGCCAAAGCTAAGCTCAGTGATAAAAGCTTTGCTGGCAATTTACGAAAACTGCGATTCCCTCTATGAAAGTTTATTGAAGACTTGGAGAAAAAAAAAAGTAGATTGGGTAGGTGACTGGGGAAGGGCTTTGTTTTGTTACAGTAATGCAAACGATACTTATTTGGAGTACAGCACACTTCATTCATTCATTAATTTGGTTCCTTGCAGATGATGCAACAGTTGTATAAGGAATGCAACCTCGTCCATGCAGATCTGAGTGAATATAACATGCTTTGGCATGATGGGAAGGTGAGCATGTTCTTAATGTGGGAAGGAAAGGTTCCATCTAATGTGAAATGTTGATACAAAGTGAATTGTTTTCTCACTGTGACTACAGGTCTGGCTTATTGATGTCAGTCAGTCTGTGGAGCCAACCCATCCTCATGGACTTGAGTTTTTGTTCAGAGACTGTAGGAATGTTTCACAGGTAAGATCTCTCTCTTCATCTGACAATCCTCTGTCATAATGAATGTTTTCCAAGGTAAAACAGCATCAAATCAATTCAGAGCTACCAAAAAATCAACCAGTACAACTCTGGGAAAAAAAAAAAAAAAAAAAAAGATTGCCACCACATGTATATATAAAATTACTCTTGCACATTGTCCATTCTGATGGTGGTGTTCTCCGAAAGGGAAAAAAGTGTGGAAGAATAAAACGATACCACTGGAACTTAGAACTTCTTTCAGTTATGTTTATCTATAGGTCAACAAAAGCAAAAATGTAATTTTGACTAAATATTGTAATTGTAACTTGAGGAAGAAAAAGAAGTGTTTTGTTCTGTATAGTAAAGTGTTTAATGTATGCTTTTTATATTGACTAGTTCTTCCAGAAAGCAGGTGTGGCAGAAGCACTTAATGAGCGTGAACTCTTCAATGCTGTCTCAGGTTTAAATATCACAGCTGACAATGAAGTAGACTTCCAAGAAGAGGTATAGCTTTCTCTGTGTCTAACATTTTGGTGTGGTTAGCTACAGTAGCTATTGTAATACCTTACTTTTCCACATTTAGTTTGTATGATTAGTGTGTGTGAGTATAATTTTGGCAGTCATTCTGCATCTTTTTTTCAAAACTTGATTATTTCAACCTAGTAAAAATGTTTTCAGAAACTCAGATTGACAGACCTCTCCACCTCCCTTCCTGATCCCCCTGCTCTCCAGTATAAAAGGCTTCTTGTTGCATATAATTGCTTCTTTCAGTGTTAACAGAAATTTAGTGATCTGTTTTAGTTTAAAAGCTGGCTTTGTTGTCTTTCCTTGCATATGTTAAGGGTTTGTGCAGAGAAGGGAAAGCTGTGTTAAAAACAATAATTGTTCTAATGCTTATTTTTCATGTTTTAGATTTTAACTTATGTGAATTTAAAGTTTAGGCTAGCATTTTCAGTTTTCAAGCCTAAAATTATGGTAATGTAAATGCTAATGAACGAGGAATCTGTGGTCACCTTTGGCTTTTAATCTTAAAATTTTAGCTGTAACTCTTCAAGGCATGCATCCTGATGCCAGATATTTATAAAAATAAGTTGTCAAAAATTCCATATTTACTAATTATAGTAAGGGCTACATGACAATTCTCCTCTACTCAGTTCCTAATGACAGTATAGGTTTATGCTAATCCAACATGTAGTAGGTCGGAGCTTGAAACTAGTTAACTCCCAGGTTAGGTCGTCAAACTGAGGAAGCGCTAAAGGAATCACAATGTCAGTGTTCCAAGATGCTTATGTATCAGTTAATCGAGCAAAACCCAATTTCCTCACTGGCTATGTTGTAAACATTGGGAGGGAATTGGTTTTGTTGCTGTTCTACATCATCTTTTTTGCTTATAAGTTTTATGGGAAAGACTTACATTGCTGTTTACATAGAGGTGAATTTGAGCAGCCCATCCTTAAACTTCAGACTTTGACTTTAGCCACTAATAACTAAAATTATCTCCCCTGGAGTACAAGAGGAATTAATCCAAACGTAACAATCTGAAGATTACAATAAGCTACTGTTCTGTGTTACTTTGATTGCACAAAAGATTTAACTGTCTTCAACTTTCACCATTAAAAATTATTGCAGTGGATATGTAATCTTAGTATTACTTGGAATTTCTCCAATGCTGATGGATTGGCTGAGTTACAGTCGAGGTGTTCAGAGTTGGAGAAAGGGATACTTTTGTACTTCGGGGAACACAGCTGAAGGCTTAAGAATCATCTAGTCCTGCCGGTAACTCCCGTGTCTCGGTTATATAGCATGAAACTATAAGGGAGTGCTGCTTGTTGTACTAAATTTGGAAGAACAGGTGTTTCAAGCTGTACTTCCAAAGTATGTTGCTTCATACATGTGACTGAACCACTGAAATGGGAATATTGCATATACCTGATCAGTCACCTAAAGCTACCTTTTAACACCGTTTAGAAGCGTTCTGGCGCAGGTGTGGTTTTATGATTTCAGCATGGGTTTATTTTTTGCTCTCTAGATCGAAGCGTTGGAGAAGATGAATGAAGATCATGTGCAGAATCAAGGAAAGAAACTGTCAATGTTTTCAAGTGATGGAGACCCACCTATATATGATGAATAGCACTGAGTGTATAGCTGCTAACGAGACAAAACGTACTGCTTCTGACTATGGTGGTGCAGTGGTAAATGTCAACTGCCAATGTCAAGAGAGAGTGGTTGACTGGGAATACCAAAGTGGGAAATACAGCGGGCATACAGTGGTGCTGCAGTGTTGTTTTTTTACCGTAGCCTACACATCATGCTGGCACTGTGAGAATGGACTGTCGCTACCTCTTGGGGTGGTCTGACAACTTCACCAATTGCCCAGTTACATTAGACTAATGTAGCTGAGGTGGTCATATTTTGCATGATTTGGAGCTTGTATGTTTTATTTTTTAAAAAAATGTTAAGCAGTCATCTAGATTGTTTAATGTATTCGGTGGGAAAGCACACTAGGAGAGTCAGTCTTCTTTTTTTTTCCTATTGCTACTTGAAAAACTAATTAAAAATTGTACGTGGACACAATGTCAGTAAACTTTTCATCCATCTCCACCAAGGGCAAAATGAAAAGTCAAACTATGCGCTGCAATCATCTGAAAATGTTAGTTGAACAAACCAATGTCTTTATATATGCAAAAGCCTGGACCTTTCCATTTGAAGTATGTGGAATATGGCGCTCTCTCTGTAAATACAATTGGGCATTACATGAGAAACAGATTTGCATCCAATGAACGTAGGTCTACTTTGGTGACATGCCAGGAAATCTAGAGGGCTGCATCCCAGTTGTGTAACAAAGAGTGCATTCAGTTAGCTTCACTCTTAATATACAAGTGGTTCCAAGAACCCAGTGCAAGCAAAATAAAAATTCTCTGTAATACTTCTGCCTCTAAACTGAAATTCTGGGTAAGAGCATCAGATATTCTTACTCACTCCAAAAGTAATCATAGACCATGAAACCAAATATTTATCCTCATTATTTTTAAACAAAGCTTTTTGCTTACAAGTGCAACAAGAATACTCAAATTTGTCTTTTTCTTATGCTTTACTTCTTAATGTCAATCTTTTTATTTTAACAAGTTCTAAAAATCTAAGAATGTTTCTCTCCAAAACGACACATGTAAAGATTAACTCATGTAGTGGGATGGTTTGGGATTAAGAAATTCTGATTAACTTCTTTTAACTCTGATATTGTTTCTGATGTTGCTCTTTATCAAGCAGAATATAGTGTTGCTACAGGTGACATTCTCACAGTGTGCTGTGAAAGTGATACTTTTTTATTTTGTTGTTGGAAAACCAGTGGTAAAGTAAAAACTTACGATCTTGTGGTATTCTCATGTGGTTCTTTGCATCGTACAGGCCTTCGTTGATCCTCAGAGCTGCACTAAAGCAGTGTTAGGGTAGGACTATGCTAGTTCATTGTAACAATAGAAAAAGGACTATTTTGGTGGGTACTACTCAAACAGTAAACAACCTTGACATTTTTGCCAGTTTCATGCCCGTACTTGATCCCCTTTCGTTTTCCAAATTCGATAGTCATCTTGCATTTACCCTTTACTTTTGAAATAAAGGAACTTAAGCCTCCAGAAGATGTTAAGTCTGTTCCTAATTGCTCTGTGAAACAGTTGCCCAAAATAACAGTATCAGGAGAAAAAGGCTAGGTACTGAGAGGGAGGTGCAACAGATACCTAACCCCTTCAGAAAGACTGAAAGCTTCTCTTGTCAAATATAACCAAATATTCCTCAAAGCATTCAGAGGAGAAGGCTTTTAAAAAGAAAAGCATAGCCCCCAACACAAGAAGGACATGGAGCCGCTGGAGCGAGTCCAGAGGAGGGCCACGAAGATGATCCAAGGGCTGGAACACCTCTCTTACGAAGACAGGCTGAGAGAGTTGGGGCTGTTCAGCCTGGAGAAGAGAAGGCTCTGGGGTGATCTTATTGCAGCCTTCCAGTACCTAAAGGGGGCCTACAGGAAAGCTGGAGAGGGACTTTTTACAAGGGCATGTAGTGATACGACACGGGACAATGGATTTAAATTGAAAGGGGGGAGATTTAGATTAGATATAAGGAAGAAATTTTTCACTCAGAGGGTGGTGAGGCAGTGGAACAGGTTGCCCAGAGAAGTTGTGGATGCCCCATCCCTGGAAGTGTTCAAGGCCAGCTTGGATGAGGCTTTGAGCAGCTTGGTGTAGTGAAGGATTTCCCTGCCCATGGCAGGGGGGTTGGAACTAGATGATCTTTGAGGTCCCTTCCAACTCAAACCATTCTATGATTCTATTCTAGGCTTATTATAAGTTTCAGCACTCTTAACATTTCTTGGAGAACAAATTATCTCAGAAGTAGTTGCTAATACCTTACAACGTGCTTGTCTAGGAAAGATGTTAAGGGTATTTGCATCAACTGAGAGGAAGAGAGTGAGCAGAAATAAGGGGAAGTGAGGGGAAGGTGGTTTTGAGCTGTCATTTGAAACAGGAACTTACTTGTGTCGTTGTGCTTTAGTGGAAGCCTCGGTTGTTACTGTCGTTTTTAATTTCTTTCTAAAATACGTCTAGCATGGATTAAAAACACAAAAAGCCCAAACAAATAAATGAAGCAGTGGTCCTCAAGTCTGTGACGTAAAGCTATTGGGCCTGATGATATTGCTTAAACGTTTCCACTTCCAGCAGTAAAACTGGCTCAGGAATTTGCTTTGAGATCGAAAGACATCTGCACGCTTTTTGTCAAGTAGTTGAAAACAAGGAAAAAGTTGCTAAAGTGAGCATTTTCTTGGATTTGTTTGAAATAAAAGGTTTTAGGATTATTATGAAGCAAATAGAATCTCATAGAAGTACATGTAGATTTCAGCGTTAATTAAGCTCTTAACTTTTCCGTCAGCGTTAATTAAGCTCTTAACTTTTCCGACATGATGACTACTCTAACGGCCAATTCTAAAATGATCACAATAGTTTCAGGGTGCGTGTTTATATACTTGTCTGCTGACTTCTGTTGCTCACCAACATAGGCTGCAGCTCCACAACAGGTTGTTGCATCTCCCACAACCAGGAGGAAATGGCCCGCATTTTGTAGGAAGGGCCTAAACCTTAATTAATTTTGTAATTACAAATTCGTACCAGCTGGATGCATATCCATAGACTTCCCCACCACGTACTTCAGTTTTCTACTATCATAACATTCCCATTGTAATTCTAGAATGTACTTGC